CGATGCAGTTACTACCACATACAGTTAGTTCCATGAACAAACTCAATTTCTGTTTAATTTGGTTCAAAGGACATTAGTCCTAATATGGACAAAAGTTAAAATACATGTCATGACTGATTTTCTGATGCCAGTGTGACAAGTGCAGGTAACACACATTCATTAAAATGTCACTTCTACCCATTTTTTATGCTTCTGGAGAAGCTTAAGAACAGACACACGTTTGTTCTTGCTGGAGGCACTTGTTTCGGATCATATTTTTGAGAGAAGAGAAAAGAAGCCAAGCAAGCAGCTTGCGCCGTAACAGCTCTGCTGCAGCAAAACAGCATCTTTTGAGTAAAAATACTGCTTTTCATTTCAGCATCATCCTACAGCAAATCTCTCACATAGCAGGGGATTACACCAGCCAATAGCCCTCAGGAAGCACAATGCCATAATCCCCCAAACAGGGATTAGGACAGGGCAGAGGGGCCATCCCATCCAAATAGCTCCCACCAAAATGTCAGCAACAGGAAACAGCCCGAGGTGCTTCCTTTCAAGATCCCATTTCAGCCTACAGTGATTTTTAGAGAGATCTTTCTGCACAGACATAAACCAAAGAGTCCTTCAGTTAATCGCAATGGGCTTCACATTCTCCTCCTGCACAATACTGATATGAAACAAATCACAGTATTGCTAAAGGCACCAAATAATTTGAGCAGATTTAAAACCTATTGCCACAGACAAGCAAGCAGATGTTTCTAGTGCTGAGAGGAACATAAGCTGGAGAAAAGGAAGGAGAGCCGCAGTGAGAGAGGGAGTACAATGCTGTGCACACCAATAGCAATGGAAACAGCATTTCTTAAGCACTGCCTTCAGACCTTCTCTACAGGCCTCTTTCTCCTCCCTTTCTTCCCTGTGCTGGTGTAAAAGAAGGGGATAAACAGCAGCAACCATCTACTTGTAAGTAACAAAGAGGTTGCTGATAGGCTAAGAATGTCAGGGTGCCCGATGAAGTGCTTGGTGTTTGCCAGGGAGAGGTGGGTGATGCACAGAGGTTCACATTGGTGCTGTGCATCCAAGTAATCCTGGTACCTTGTTCTTAATTCTGAGCTATTCAAGAGGCCACCAACACAACTCACAGCTGTGAGGTTTTGTTCTTTTTAATTGTATTTAAACTTGTATTTACATTTTTAATTTAAAAAATACAAATAATTTTCACTCCAAAAAATAGAAAGCCTTTTCTACCATGTTTTTAGCATGGTTTCACCCTGGTTAGATTTACAAATCCCTTGAATCAGAAGACTTGCAAGTGCCTGACAGAACTGCCTCAGGAAGCGAAGCCAAGGAGATGGAGCACGCAAAGAAAATGGGATGTCAAAAACCAGACATCTCAAAATACTCTCTTGGCAGAGGAAAACTCCTACACAAGTTCTGAACATGCTCTCAGAGATAATGACTGCCTGCAACCGGGGATGAGCACTCTGCACAAGGCTGCTTTTGTGTTTCCAAGCGTTGATTTAGAGCTTCAGCCTTACGAGCCACCCACAGCAAAACCGGTGAGGTCCCCTCCTTCCCACTACTAAATCCAAATGTTGGGTAATGCAAATAAAAACCCCCATTGTTCTACCTGTTTTATGGTCTCTGTCATCTGATATTGCCTTTCTGGTATTTATTTCTCAACCCTGAAGCTTGCAGTGAGCCTTCCTCCCCCTCTCTGGCAGTGTGAACGCGATCTGTCCTGCAGCGTGGAAAAAGTGCATGGAGAAAATGGAAATATGGAGAAAAGCCTAAAATTATTCATTCTTCATGGGTCCAGTGGGACTGATGGAGTTTCGGTGCAGCTAGTAGTGCAGTCTGCTGGTTTTCCTGGTTTTGACAGCTAACAGTGGATCTGAAGGTTAATTATAGTTAACTGCTTTTCATTTGTCCAGCAGAGTATGCAGCATCAGAATGCAAAATCAGTCCTACTAAACTTGTCCCAGTCAGCTTAATGACTAGTGTGAAATTATGATCTATTAATTCCTTTATCAAAAAAGGTAAAAGATAATTTTACAAAATATTACACAATAATTCTATGATGCTATGATTCTAATTTACATAACAAAAGATAAACAATAATGAATTATGTCATTAACCAAAAATAAACTGTTTTACAAAATAAAAACATTTTTACACACATTGAAATTAATTTATTTACAGCATTCTGTGCCTTACATCCATAAATACCAATACCTTCAGTCAGAAAATAATATATTACACCAATCTTGTCATATGTTTTAATAACATCACCATTATCTCTACTATGACAATGTTAGAAAGAAAGCAGAAAAAAAGATGGAGGAGAGTTGGTCCCTGCCCTAGTGAGCTTCTAATGTTGTTTACCATTGATTTGCTTAGGCAGAGAAGGGTGGTTGGCTGCACACTCATGTTGAGCCCGGTTTGATCCTCCCCTGGGATCAGCCCTGGAGGAAACTCCTTCCTCAGGCTGTGGAGCCACTGGTCCAGCACATCTGCAGTGACCTTGCCAGATGCTGTTAAACCACCCATGAAGCAACAACAGCTGGCCACATCTGTGCTGTTCAGTGTGTGCCCTTCTGCCAGCACCATCCTACCTCGTGATTTCCCCATGTGAGCTCCTGCAGGATGCAGCCTTGCTGCAGCCTCCTGCCTCATGCACCCTCTGACCAGGTCCATCAAGCCCCAGAGGGATGCTGATACTGCAGGCACCTCACCTCTGTGGTGGTTCCCTGCTGTGAGTGGAGCCCAGAGGGATGGAAACAAGCCCTCCAAGTAACTTCAGCTCACTTCAGCACAATGGGTCAGAAGAACAGGGGTTGGGAAATGCCTGGAGAGTTGGAAAGGGTCACCACTGGCAAGAAGATGGGCAGGGAGAGCCCTAGTACCTGCACACAAGAGCTGCCAGAGCACCCACCTCAGGAAGCCACAACTCTGGAGACCTTTGAGTGGATTGCTCTATCACCTACACATTTTTTTTCCCTCTCCAGATCATGTTTTATTATATAAAATAAACTAATTCTGTGTTTAGTTTCAGCATAAGAGATCTGATGCCTCCTGGTTTACAAACAGCTTGTTCTAAACAAGCATAAATGTGAAACTGTATTAAGGAAAAGTAGTGCAACAAAAACAGTTACAAAAAACACTGGCATCTGAGATGGGCATTTTAGGCTCCTTTTATAGTCAGTGGGCAGAAACAGGCTATGATTCATCTCATCCTAAAAATAACTGGCTAGAAGCATGGATAAATTATGCTAAAGGCTTAGGCATATTCATTCTTCATCTACATTATTGTGCAGCACAGACACGACACAACATTGATTGTATATTCAGTACAGTCATTTCCTTCAAGAGGTACAATAAAAGAGAGTCCCCCCCAAATTAATATGCTTTGCAGTTAGGGGAATGTAGAGTGGGCCTTTCCCTAATGTCAGTGTCTAATGCAAGGGAGGGAATTAGGACTGTCATTTTTACATATTAGCACCATCCTAATTCATATTGTTCTTGCTTTAGCTGTCTGAATCTGGCTTCGGCTGTAGCAGGGAGAAGCAGGGGAGCAGGGCTGGGTCTGCTGTCACCTTCTGCTAATACAGGTGAGCATAGATTCCATCCTCCCATCTGGACTTCAATCTCTAGCTATAGATAAAGGACACTAAGGAAACAATGTGCAAAGAGAACATCAAAGCCCAGCTTTACCTTCCTCTTCATTGAAAGCTTTAATGCCCCAAAGCCAAGACAGTGTAAAAGCAGTGACATGAAATAGGCAACAAAACAGATGCTCAATACACAATGCTTCGGCTAAACCATCAAGATTGTAGAGGGGAAATCAGTAAAGAGAGGAAAAAAGATAAAACCTCTCCACCTGCCTGTCCTCGGCCATGTACAGACATTAATTACTACCTCAGGATGCAAATTCATTGCACTTTCCCTTCTGCACTTGTAATAGCCTGCTGAACCCGATGCCCTTACCTAATCCCACCCACTCCTTGTACCCAAGACATTATGGGCTTCATTATAGGTAGCAATATTAGCATGCTGCTACCTGAAGCCTGGTGAATGCCTCCACGGGCTCCTGTGGATGCGCTTGTAGGCACTCAAGACACCAGACTGGACCACAGGAATGTGCAGCATCATTGTGCTGCATAAAACCCCAGGAACCCATGCTCTGTAATAACAGTGTGCAGGTTAGAGCACTGAGTGAGCTGTTTTCTACTGAATCCAAAATGCCTGAAATCAGATCTCTGAGCTGTCTTGGTACAGTTACAGGATGGATCACGCTCACCAGCATCTCTGGCCGGTGCCAGCAGAGTGGATTTTACAATCTGACATTGGAAGTCTGTTCCTTACCTCCTGAAACCAGAATCACTCAAATCTGACAACATCCACAGCCTGCCATTGTGTTAATCTCTGCCACTGAACTTTAAGGACAACTGAACAAGCTGAGTTTGGTAAAGAAAGGCTGCTGTTGATAACACACTTTCTTTCATATTTTAGGTTTCAGGAAGCCTGGATGGGTTCTTGTTTGACACATGAAATCATCATGTTTTAATGGAGGTGAGACACAGGCAGCCCTAGATGAGCCCTTCATTCTTTTTGTTACCCTTAATGCAGTTATCATGAAGAGCTTCAGAATAGAAGACACCAGCTTGCCCTGGTTTCAGTTCGGATAGAGTTAGTGTTATTCCGAGTAGCTGGTACAGTGCTGTGTCTTGGATTTAGGATGAGAATAATGCTGATATCACAGGGATGTTTTAGTTACTGCTGAGCACCACTTACACAAAGCCAAAGCCTTTTCTGCTCCTCACACCACCCCACTAGTGAGGGGGCTGGGGGTGCACATGGAGCTTAGAGGGGACACAGCCGGGACATCTGACCCTCACTGACCAAAGGGATGCTCCACACCATATGGTGTCATGATGCATATTCTTGTATCATTATTATTCTTATTATTATATCTATATTATTATCATTATTTCCCTTCCTGTCCTGTGCCATTAAACTGTTGTTATCTCAACCCATGAGTTTTCCTTTTTTTCTGATCCTCTTCCCCCATCACACAGCTGTGTGGGGTTCAGCTGCCTGCTGGGCTAAACCACAGCACAGCTACACTGTTAGAGAACTGATGAACAAGTGAAGTGCATTGATCGATACCCACAGAGCAAACGAACCACGTTGTCTGGCTTTAACAGGAACCACTCAGTTTTCAAGAGCCTGTACACTCCAGCTCTCCTCACTGGTGTGACAGAGCAATTTGGCTGCTAGCCCACAAGCAAAGCGTTTCCCAAACAAAGGAAATCAATATTTCTATGTATCCATTCATGGACATACATCCCATTTAGAGTAAAACACTCATGCAGTTAACTGCATATGTGGTTGTCTCCATTTAGGAGCACAGCAATTTAATTACACCAAAAATATTGGAGGCTAGATGGAGATCTGGAAAAAACAAAACCCAGTTGTCAAACCTTTTGATCTCGGTCTCTTTGGGTGTGTTCTAAGGAAAACAGGCTGTCAGTGAGCAACAATCTGATTATTTGTTCCTTGTCTGACTCCAGGAAGGGCACTGGAACAAAGGACCCAGTTTTCAGGTGAGCCCTGGTCTTGGGTGAGAGCCACCTGGCAATGCCTCGGTGCAGTGAGGACTGAGGTAACAACCTACCTCATCCCTGGAAAGGAACCAGAACCAAAAGTGACAGTTTATCCATGTACCCAACTGACAGGATTCAGCTGCCACCTGTAATAGAAGTACATAACAAACCAGAAGTATTACGATAGCCTGACCTGCTCACGGAGAAAGAGGAGTGTTGGGTGTACCTGGGCATTCGTCCAAACATGCCTTTTTCTATGCAGGCTTTGTCTCCGTTATCTGTGTTTATCTTACATTAGGACTGGATCACAGCAACAGAAGGTAATACACAGCCAGGCTAGAAAACTGATCTCAAATAAGGACAATGGTATGAAAACCGAGTCAACTGAGATCTGGGGTGGTCTCCGACCTTTTCCCAAGCTGACCCCATGGGTCTGAATTTCACTTCTGTAATTGAATTGCAAGTGTGTCTTCGACCCCTCTGTTCCAGGAGACACCGACCGTTTCAAGTCATGGATAAAATCCAAGATGCTGATTTCAATTCAATATGTCTTTGGGACCTGGTATGAGCTACCAAAGAGCCTGTGAGTCTTCTTGTTTAATGCTGTCTTATTTAAGTAGCAGTAGTAACTTTTGAGCTAGAAGACCACCCTTCCTATAAAAGAACATTTCTAGCTATGTACATGAATTACTCTTCAGGGCAGTTTTATCTCTAAAGCTGGGCTAAGGATTAGAGAAAGTTGTTATTTACTTTGTCAAGTTTCTTCTTTTCACTTTAACCCATTATTTTGAGGTTTTACTCTGGATACTCATCTATTGGAGAGCAAATTAATTCCCTATTAAACTTGAAAATAATAGAAGCAGCATCTTCAGAGATCAATAAAATCACTTCGTTTCACCCAAAATACATAGTAGTCTGGCCAAGAATGTGTGATGATGGCTCCCACCATCACTGAGCAGCTCGCTGCATCACCGCTTGCTCCAAGAAGCAATGGTCCACTGTTCAGATCCACCTCCTCTTCCCCATGGTCAAGAAGATCATACGTGCTTTTCCATGTGCTGACACAGACACATTCTCCATTGCCAGAGTGTGTCCCTGGGTGGCAAAGGAAACATAGCAGATGATGAGCAGATCATCAGGTCATTGAAAATGCTGGTGCATCCCCTGAAAATCAGAACACAATGAGACATGACCAACTGACACCTCTTGTTCATGCAGGGTGTGCCTAAGTGGCGAGGAATAGAAGCCGGGGACTATGGACTTCTCTGGCACTTTGAGCTTTTTTTGCTTCATTAGTTTGAAGGAAAATTCCCTAAAATTCTGCTGATAACCTATGCTGACACGTGTTACTTCAGTTAAGAATCAGCTTGAGGTATTGAAAGAAAAGCTGCCCTTTAGCTTACTTTACAGCCCAGAGTCCCACAGGGTTGTACTTGTGATGTTAAGTACTTTGATTACATTTTTCATTTGATTCAAAGTTTACCCAAAACACCTTGTCCTCTGTACGTCATCCCACCGGAAAACAGCAGAACAAGTGGTTTTACTATTTGCATTCTGCAGTACCTGTTTCTTGACACAGCCAAGGTCCTTGTATTGCAGACCCATCTGAAATGCCATCCATGAGGTCACGCTCACTGCAAACAATGGCACACAAGGCAGTATTATTTCCTGCAGCCCCTGCTCTGTTTGTGTTGTTACTTGCACAGATCAAAGGGATGCAAAGCACTGGGAGTACCTAAACATATTACTGCATAATACAATGTAAACTGTGTGATTGGAAAGAACAGTTTGACTTAATTCACTTTCTGCTGCTTTCAGAACAAACAGCACATCGGTGTGGTCCCTCTAGTTAGTTAGACTTGGCACAGTCCTATTGCTGGGTCCACCAAGATGATTTCTGTGGCCCTTAGTGACATGGTTTAGTGGTGGACTTGGCATGGTTGGCCTCGATGATCTTGAAGGTCTTTTCCAACCTGGTTGCTTCTATGATTCTTCTGCAGCATTTCCATGTAGAATGTATGTCCATACACTCTCATGGCTTGAAGAAAACGAATTCAACAACAAGCACATAGCACAAGTTGCCTTTTGAGGAGACAATGAATATCTAGAGAAATATCTAGAATACTGTCCCAAGAGTCAAGGTCAGGAAAGATGCCATGGCTGGTCACGGGACTTTGAAACCCCTCAGGTAGCTCTCCCATGTTTTATATTAGACTTCGTGGAGGCTGAAGCATAGACAACTTGCTGTGACATTTTCACTAAAGCCATACATTCTTTTAGCTTAATGCTAATGCTGAGTTTTCATCACACACACCAAGTAACCTGAGATGTAACTGAACTTACTTTCTTTTAGTAGAATAGAGAAATATATGTAAAATCAGATGATTGACAGCCCTGGAAATTAAATAGACTGCCTCGCTGGTGTTTCTTATCCTGCTCCAGTAAAACCAGACAGGCAAGATGCCACTAAAACAAATGGATACTTTTCCTTTGATCCATCAGTAGCTTTTCAGAAGGATCAATATAGAAGGCTTTAATGTGCTCTAAACACTCTGCCTCCTGAAAGTAGCCTAAGATAAATGAGGTCACTCATGAGCAAGCAGACAGGAGACAGCCTAAATGATAGTCTTCCTGAGGTATTTCATGCCTCATAAAGGATGTATCTAGAGATACTCATGCTAATGTTTGGTTTGTGGGGCCAAGATATGATCTGCCATTGTACCCACCACTTTTCTGCGCACAGCCAGCATACCCACAAGTATTCAGACAGGCTGCAAGACGTAAGAGCATAAGGATGCCCAGAAGGAGCAAGCACCTCACGGAGCTGAACAGTACAGTCAGGTCCATCTCTGCATCCTCTAGGTAGATGTGAGCATGAGATCTGAGCCATCAGCACTCCCACACAGAGCTCACTGCACCCTCTGGGCATTATGCATCTGCCAGAGGAAAGTGATTATAACAGATTATAACAGTCCAGATCCTTTTGCAGTTAAGCAGGATCAAGCAGGTGAATAAGTTATGGGAAGAGGCAGTCAAGGATCAAACCTAAATTAGTGCAGATGCAGGTGTTCAGAAAAAAAAGGAGCTGAGATCTCTCCATCTCCATTCCTGCTACTGTCACATTATACAGTATATTATGGGAACATTATAGAGCAAATATGCAGTTTCTTCAATCTGCCATTTAGGAACACCTGCCTTCTAGAAGCGCCTCAACTCTTCGGGTGCGATTAGCTTTGGTTAAGGCAAGGAGATACACTACTCATCTAACTTTTCATCTCACATTCCTTCTGTTTCCAGTCACTTGGTAACTCCCCAGCCTGGCTATCCACAATCCCAAAAGGACACGGAAACAGAGGAGCACATACTCCGTTGAATATCCCAACCTGCCAGACCAGACTAACCTGCCCAAGCAGCTGAGCTGGTAAGAGGTAAATGAGAGCAAGATGGGGAAGATGGCCCACAGCAGAACTGTAACGGGTAAGTGCAAAGGGAGACACATCAATCACTAGAGCAATAGGAAGAGACAAAACATTTCAAACCGCATGAAGTCTATCTAAAAGCTTAAATAACATGTCTAGCTGCCCCACAGCCAGCAGACACTGCTTAAAGAGTCCATACCTTAGCCAGCTAGAGAGGTTTGACAGTTGTTGAGAGCTTGTAGAATTAAAAGACCATTTGCTATACAAAAAGGTTGGTTAAACTCACTTCTGCCCTTGAGGCATATTGGGAAGAGGATTTTTCCCACAGTATGTCACAAGTCAGTAATCAGTGCAAGGAAAGAAGCCTGTGCCTTGTGCATCCATAAAAGGGAGGAGCAAGATTCATCTTTCTTCTGACATACTTGAGATGAACCTTAACTTGCTGTTCGTGCCCTGATGATACCCAATCTCATGGCTGAGTGGATCACACATCTTGCTTGCATGCTCAGGATAAAATTACTCCCAGATGTGAGATCCAAAAGGAATTTCCCTCCCAGGCCCTGACCTGGTCAGGTCACCAGGGCTGCTTGTCAGCTTCCCAGGCTCCTGCAAGCTTTGCATCTAACACATATCTTTTCCAGCCTTGGTGACGTCCTTGCTTTGTCCTGCTCTCTTCCAGCTGCTGCATATGGAAAAAAGCTTATGGGGCTTTTTCAGCTTGTTTCTGCAGGTTTGAGGCATGGGAACATTCTGATGCCATGAAAAAGTCTGCACCTGTGATCAAAAGGGTCTCCTCTTGTGTTTTGTTGTGAAGTTCTTTGCATTCGTCAGATTCTTTAGGCAATGGTGTTCAAAAGAGTACTTCAACAGCTTAAAGAAAAATACCTTTGGTGGTGACATTTATCTTCTCCATCTCACACATGGAGTCAAACCCAGGTCTGCCACTCATTCATGCTACCTGCAGTGATGGTACCCTTGCAAGCTGCTCAAGGATGACCTAAGCCAGTGGCCCAGAAGGGATCAAAGATGTCCCAAGCTTCAGCATCTGCCCATGCACTGTGTGGATAGAAATAGGGACCAGAATCCTCCCATTACCCTGTCTACCTGTCCTGGTGCTGCCCTCCAGCAAAGAACAGGCACAGGGTACATCTGTGAAGCCCTGTACAATGTATGCTGCAAGGGCTGGGCAGGACTGAATGGGGTAAGACGACAGAGTATTGTGGTGTGCATTAGACTTTGGACCACTCCTGACAAACACCAGTCGTTAATGGTACCCCAGTATTGTTTCTCAGTGATCTGCAACCCACCGTGAAGCAGAGCTGTAAGAACATGGGTCCTCCGCACTCCTTGTCTGTGAGCAGGAGGCCAGATTTCCTCTCCTCTGCATCAGCAGATGCAACAAAACAATCTGTTTACTACAAACTCACCAGCTCCTGTGGATTATTCCTCACTTCATTAATTTCCTAATTATGAGAAACAGAAACGACTGCACTGTAATGACAAACTACAATGCAACTTCAGGCAAAGAGTCTGAAGGGAAAATTAAATACCAAAGGAATGGTTAGTTCTATAAACCTAGTTATTTCTTTAGTGTGGCTTTCTGAAGACGTAAGTTATCAGTACATAATGTTCCAAGCATGAAATGAAGCACCTCAGGAGGTAAAGGTGGGCATGCTGGTTTCCATCACTTGAGAGCCTGACCTTGTATCTCTAGTTATTCATTAACTCCAAAGCAGAAAGATACCTCTGACAGGAGAGGTTACTCACAAAGGGACTGCTGTGGAATCAGTGAAGTTCCAGGAAGTGTCTTTCCTGCTAGGGTTACTATGGAGATAGAACAAAAGAAACAAAACAGACTCTTTGGGGAGTTTTTTCATATTAATTGGGCTCTGCAAGTGAACATTTCAGTTGCTATCCCCGCCCTGGTTATCTTCTCCTTTTCTGATATTATTGATGTAATTGACTCCTTTCTTCTGCTGCTGCTGTGCAACCTGCACCTTCCTGTGCTGAGCATGGCCATCCTTGTCTTCCGCTAGCTGTCATTACAAGATATAATGGGTATTTGATTGAAAGCTGAATATTCAGCACAAGGACAAGAATAAAGACATAATTTGTAGGATTCTGTTAATAACTTGACAGGGACTCAGCAGAACACTCACTTTTCAAATTCTGAACAAAGCATGAATTTTAGTGGTTAATTTTATCCATTACTAAAGGCAGATAAAAGCTGAGTGAAACCCCGTTCCCAATGACAGCAGTGCCAAAACTCCTACTGACGTTAAGTGTCAATGATCCCAGATAAACTAGCAATTATAGGTGTGAAAAAGGACTGAAACCAGCCTGTGCCTTCCCTTGCCTTCAGTCATCTTTCTTCCTAAGGTTTAAGAAAGGTGTATGTTGGGAAGCATGATTAGGAAGATCTCTCTTCCTCCTTCCCTTTCCCTTCATTAACCCACTCCACACCTAAGCTCTCTCCTGAGCTCTCATGCTGGCTCTCACAGATCTTCCCCTTCCTTCAGCACTAACAGCATCATCCAGAATGAGGATAAGAAAGGGACAGAAGATTGCAAGAGAAGAGACAGAGGAGCTGGTGGTAACCTTGTTCTCTTTCAGTCATGCAGGGGCAGAGGTAGAAACAACAGATAAACCCAGGATGCACGCAGCTGATTGCAGCTGTGTCTGCCTGGAGTATCTCTGCAAAACAGATGTGCTCTTGCAAAAGTGAGGATGAGTCCCAGAGGACCTGAAGTGAAGCCTTGCAGAAACCAAGTCCCAATGCTTCAGACCAGCCCTATAATCACAAATAACTTGTTCACACCTACAGAGGAAACTTCCACAACAAAAACCGTCTGGTCCTTAGCTCAGTGCTATAAATCCACAAACTTCCTTTTCCCAGTTACACCAGTGAAATGTATTTTTTAAACTCTTGTCTTTATTATAAAGTACTTTTGTAAAATGGCAGATTACATTTAATACCTGCATTTAACAATACAATCTGGGTTTGACACAGTGGCAGCACAACGGAATAAAATGCTACTCTGAAGAAGGGTAATTCAGGCTTTAGCTTGCCTCCAAAGGTTCACTGCAGAAAACATTCCTCATCACAACTACTGTAACAGACAGGGTGGAGAACCTATGGGGTTTTTTCACTAAAGCCATGATGTGTAAAGCCTGATGGTGCTTTATCAGAGCCTGAGCCCAGCACGAATTCTGCTTTGATTAACGTTAACTCATTTTTTTCACTGCAACACACACACTGAATGAAGTCTTTGTGTTCATATTCCATCTCTAGGATTCTATCATTGTGAGATAATATAGCAGTGGGAATCTTCTGGGATACCTGATAAAATAGTCTTCACCAATAAATAGAAAACTCACAGCATAAAGTCTCAGCTTTAAAATCTGATGAGAAGTTTCACTGCAGGATGGCGTCTCAGACAAAGTATTACTATAAAACATTCTTCTCTAGTTTCCCTTCAGCCTCTACTTGCATTTATCCCAACTACTGCAAAATATGATCAAAATTCTCAGCAAACATCCATATATTCACTTTTCCCTTCTTAGCTCTGCTTCTCCAAAGTGAGAAGCTCTTCTCTCCAGAGTGGAAAGCCATGAGAGCCACTGGGCTGTGCACGTTTGAGGAGCAACATGTGAATGACAGGGAAGTGAAATTAGCAATAAGCCAAGCAAAATGTAGGTTTGGGGCTGGAAAGGAAATAAACATGTTCAGAGCTCTGCCTTAATCTCAAGAGGGCATTCCTATTCAGAAACAGATGGAAGCATGAGCACAAGCATGATTCTGAGCCTATGTTCTCTCGTTTTACTTCGGACTGGAGTCAGAATTTCCAAGAAAGTTCTCTTTGTTCACAGTTAAGCATTAAAAATGGAAATCCATACTTTCCTGCAATTGCAAGCCTTTTTCTCTTATTACTTTTATTTTGGCATCATTTTTGCATTTTAAATCCAACTTCATCTATAGGACAATTATTTTTCTGTATCTCATGCAGTCCTGTTGTGCTTGCTTCAACAAATTGATCAGCTTTAATACTACACTAAGTAGGTTATTTGGCAGCATTACAAATGCACCAAATCTGATTATATTCACAATCTGATAATCTACACTCTCCATTTGCAATCATGTTTCTGCCTTCTGCTCACAAACAACACGGCCAATTTCCAGTCATAGGCACTCCTGTGATGAGGGTCTCAGAGCCAGAATATCCCACAGCATGGGCATTGATAGTGCTCTGTTTCTTCCTGGACTGAGCTTCCCGTTATCCAAAATAGCTACAGCATCTTCCACACATTTGAGGATGCAAATGCAGAATTGTCTTCCATAATGCATGTAACCAACCCGTGGGCTGATTATGTTCAGAAGACGGTTTAATAAATAGAGAGAAAACCAAATTTCAAATTTTGAACCATCTTGTGATAGTTATTAAAAAGATACTATTAAAATATTGAGCACTACAGAAATAAAGCTCCATTTTAACCCTGTTTGCAAAATTTAAACCCATGCAGTTGTAATTCCAAGGACCTAAAATCACTGAAGGACTTTAGAGAAGTATTTACTCCTTAAGGGAAAATTTTTCCAATCCAAAAGGACTCAACAGCTTCAGGATGCTTCCTGAACACATTGAGCACCTTACCACCAACAGTGCAAAACCCCTGCAGTTCTCAAAGCACTCCTCAAAAATAGGCTTTGTTTTCTCCCCTCACATATTCTTTGGGGTGAGAGTCTCAGGAATAACTGCTACTGTGCCAAATTTAGGCTTAAGTAATTAGCTCAAGAGAAAAGCAAAACAGCTGCAGAATGCAGAACACACATAGGCACTCTGGCCCTAAGTATTGGTTTTAAACTGACCATACAGAAGAAAATATAGTTATACAGATCATAATTGTTAAACCAAGTTGGCTACAAGCTACACCTGAGTTATTCAAATAATTACCTTTTTTAGTAATTACAAATAGGCTTTTCTATTTGGATCCTGATTTATCTTCAGTTAAACAGCACCTAAATCCATGTTAACTCACTGTGTTCTCATCAACAGGTTTTAGACTGAGCCAGCTCTATGCTCCCTAAACAGAACTGTTTACACTCTTAAAACAAGTACATTCTGTATGACTGTTGGAAAGAGCGCCTGTGCAAGTGAGTTCAACCAGGTGTAACTCACTTTTTAAGGTCACCAAAGAAGCTTGAACAAATGGCACCCAGTGCTTGGCACCAGTTTCCCATATCCGAGTTCAATCACATCTGGAAAAACGGAAAAAAGCTGTTCCCCCATTCAGGCATGAGTAAGCAAGCAGTCAGGTTAAGCTCCACTCACAAAAGCTAAACACGATGGGGATACAACATCAATCACCTGAGGGGGGGGGAAGAGAGGACTGTAGCACTTACCCAATCCATAACATGTAGATGAGGCCCTTAGTGACATGGTTTAGTGGTGGACTTGTCAGTCCTGGGGTAAAGGTTGGACTTGATGATCTTAAAGGTCTTTTCCAACCGAGCTGATTCTATGGTTCTATGATCCTGGCTGGGCAGGAAATTTCAGGACTGCTGGAATTTCTCAGTACTATGCACCAAGCAGTGCAGAAGATGAGTAAAGAAAGAGGTACACAATCACCCATGCTGCAAGCGGTGTTAACTAAAGCTAAGGGAAAAGAAGCTTTGGGCCCTACCTGCTGAACATCAATATAAACACAATCTCAATTCCATTATGAAATTTAAGGATGGCAAAAATAAATGCAACCACAGCCAGACTCTCTGTAGGTCAAGAGACAGTGTGGTTTTGGGTTTGGTTCGAAATGACGTTTTTCCAGCAGACATCCAACTTCAATAAATGCTCCTTTTCATACGGAAAATACCTCAGCGCAGCCTCTCCTATGAAAATATTTTTCTCCTGGCACAACCAGGTTTCATTCCTAACCTCAGATGGTCTCGATACTTTGAGAACAATCAGCCACTTCTACTGATCAAACAAACATGAAAAGAAATTCATTCTCTTTCAAAAGCAGCTTTCTACAGCTTTTGCAACACAGAAAACAAAATAAGGTCATTTTGAGCTGCTTCCTTGAATTTTATTGAGTGTCAAACTGAATAATTAATACAAAGTTACTTCATTCTATGAAGATTAAGAGACATTACAGTATAAAATTCCCTGAGATACAACATGTAACTTAAAGGATCATGTGCTTCTCTATTCCACTTCCACCACAATCAAAAAGGAATACCATTTCTTCACCTTATAAAAACCAGAAGGTGATCATCTTCCTTTCTCTCCCTCCACCACAATACTTTAAGGCATGGAAAAACACCCACTTTTTAAAAATGTATTCAAAATGGTTTTTTTACTTAAAACATAAAATCCCTTTACTTAATTTTTACAGACGGATTATATATATCACCTTCAATACCTTGTGGAGACTGGTACCTTATCTACAATCCAATTTGCTCAGGCAAACTTTTTATTCATCACTGTACTTGAGCAATATAAAGTAAATGACAAAAGCCAGCCCTTAGTTTATGAGTACACTATTAGCCAGTGGAGTGGGTGAGCCAGAAACCAAAGTAGATTTATAGAGATGCTGTATTACTGACTTATAAGAAGCTGCAAGGGCTGAATTTTCTCCCCAGTCTAAAGGGAAAAATGTGCAACGGTCACACAAGGCTGATGAAACAAGAGGTTTCTTCTCTCCCAGCACAAGTGCTCTGCAATAATTATTACAGGACTGCAGTCTTCATTATACAATTCCTGAAATTACTCAATGCAGCACATACAAATACAGCACAGTTGAGATCACCTTATTCAAACACGATGCTTTAATTATTGCATAGGTCTTTTCTGAATGTTACAAACCTCGAGTTCATCAAAGATTTCAAATGTTTTTCTTAGGAGGAGGAAAAAAGCATGGGTTGTGATCTCTGGAAATTCCCATGCTCCTGGAGCTCGCTCTCCTGCCTGAGGCATTACTAATGATTACACAGAACTGTGTGCCTGGAAACTTTCAGAAAATGCTTAAAGATTTAGGAGGACTGGAAAAAATGCACTAGTTTCAGCAGACTGGTGCAAAGTAGTGTGATCTTCAGTATCAGCTCACTTTTAAAACCTGGGTTTTGTATACATTTATGTGAACTGCCCATGGCAGGGGTGTGGAACTGGATGATTTCAAGGTCCTTTCCAACCCAAACCATTCTATAATTCTATAAACTGTGATAAAAACTGAACAGTATAACAGGGTAAATCAAACGCAGACAGATTCTCTGATCCCAACACTCAGCTATTACTGTTGACGCTACACTTAAATCACACTTTTTATATTATCAGAACCAATCTTATGGGAGTAGTAACCATTGTTAGAGAAACAGATGAGCATGCAATGAAGAATATGCTTTTGCTTTAATCACTTAAGACCTGTTCAAGTGAAAATGCAGCACCAGGGACCATCCCTGCTACACTCCACATCATGCTGTCTTACTTCTATCCCAATCAAATTTCTACAGTGAATCTGCCATTAACAACAGAAAGGTTCACAAAGTACTTTCAGCCATCCTTCCTTCAGCAAAGGCAGATGGAATAAGCATAGAAGCCAGCGAGATCTGATCTGGTAAATCTGTGCAAATTATTAATGAACTTCATTATTATTAGGGGGCTTGAGGCTTTGATAGGTTTGGGGTTTTTTTTCTTTTCAGTAATCCTTGGTTCCATGCTTACCTACTCAAGGGGAACATCTAATTTAAAATGAATTACAGTAAGCTGCTATCTCATAAAAGCACCTATCCAACATCTCTTACTGCTTAAGGCAAATGTAATCCTGTTCTAACTTAAATATGACTCACAAATGCCAGTAAACTCACCTGTTCTGATGCACACCTTGTGCTTGTAACCAACCTTCTTTTCCCACCTGTTCTGTGCCCATGATTTTACTCTGAGTGAAGTCTCTGGATAACTCCATGGGTTATCCAGCTCCTTAAATAGGAGCTGGACAAATCCCATAGTCCTTTGTGCAGGACTTTTGTGGGCTATCATTTTTTGTCACCAAACATTACAATTGCGATGGGCAGGGAAGGCTAAGCTTCCTGAGGAACTGTAATCGCAACTGAAGTTTCTCTCTGGATGTCATCAAGCAAGATTATATATAACCAAAAAGTAACCATACACCTACTACCAGGAAGACTCCAGCAAAATGTCAGAGTCTGAAAGGGAATAATCACCATCAATGTTCCCTGTAGGTATTGACAGAAGGAAGTTTTGCCTAAGGAACCTATTTATTAATTAAAAAAACTGAGCCAGAAAAAAAAACTCAAAACCAAAGGAAAACAAGTAGTGAATCGTTCCCTTTGGATACTCTTTCCTCACACAATCTGTATTATACCAACAGTCTAGATATTATTCTCTACAGTAATTTTCTTTTCAAAAGGCAGTGATTTGGGACTGGAGGATTTTGGGGAGGGTTTGGTAACTATTATTGTACAAACAGCAAAGAAGCGCTCTGAGTAGTCTGTCACCTGGCAGAATTGCTACAAATGCGTGCCATCAACCAAAACACTCGCAACACACCAGGACTGTCTACTGATACTGGAGAAATGAGTTAGCCTTTCTGTACACATACTCAGTATAGTACTAAAACTCCCATGGTTCTGAGCCTTTCCCTGCTTTTTCCTATATGGCAGTAATTTTGCAGGGAAAAATGCAGATTCCTGTAAACATTTTCTAATTCCTGAATAAAGGAATGGTTGGAAATGTTCCGACTCTTTCTATAGTCTATCATTTCCTGTACTTAAGGTTCTTCTCCACCTTCATACAGGATAAATGTGACCATGTTTTGGGTAGGCAGTGGAAGAAACACTCTACATCATCTGAGCTGTTTGTTCCACTCGGATCCACCCTCCCCATGCACTTTTTCCTAAATGGAATTATTATTTGGCTCAAAGCATTATTAGTTGGCTGCTGCAATTTCAAACATTGCTTAAAAGTGCTACTGTATCATTACATTCTTACATTCAACACTTGTGGCTCAGAATTTGTCTGCAAACAGCTTTCACGTGCATAACGTGCATCACTGGTTAAAAATATTCACTTTTGTCCTTGGAATACAGAAGGCCAGCGCTGATCACGTATCCTCTGTAAGCAGAAGAAATGGTCCAGGAAGCTGTCACAGCCGACGAAATTGGTTGCAGATGTACAGCTGAAGAATTTGGCATCAGTCAGTTACGTCAAGCTGCGCACAAATGTAAAGGCTTCAGATCTGTACTACCTCTGGAGATTCAGCTTTGCTCTTGAAGAATCATCTTGCCCGATGTTTCTTTGTCCTTCCATAATTTTGCACTTTAATAAAGATCTTCCTTTTGCAGGCTTTTCACAGCTTGTTTACCTGTAGCTTCTCTTGCTGATGACAACTTCTGTGCACTACCTCAGTTAACGATCTCTGAGAACCATCCTTCCCTACGCCTTGGTGCAGCCCACTGCCGGCACAGGCTGCCCAGGCAAACCTCATCCTCCAGGAACGTCAGCTTTCAAACCAGCTGGCCAGGTTTCGTACAGTCTTGATTTGATTCCCGGCTGTCTTCACGGCCTTGCAAACCTTGCAGAGATGCTCATCCCAGAAGGAGGTGACGTGGACTTCGTACTTCTTCCTCCAGGCAAAATACTTCCTGTAGTTGGGCTTGTTTTTATCAAGGAACTTCAGGTAGGTGGCCAGCAGCCGGGGGCTGGGGAAGTCATCGACGTGGATGAAGGAGTCGCGGGGGATGAAGCGCTCGTAGTTAGCCCTGCGGGGTCCGAGGACGACGGGCACGGCGCTGGCGGCAAAGGCGTTTCTCCAGAGCTTCTCAGTGATGTAGTCGGTGTGCTGGGAGTTCTCGAAGGCCAGGTAGAACTTGTAGGCTGAGACGGTCTCCACCACGCCGCCCTCGGACAGCGTCAGCCCCCTTGCCCCATATACATCAATGGCGAGGTACTCCTTCAGCTGGCGGTAGTAGCGCACGCGGGCGTGCTCCTCGTTCCAGTTGCTAATGACCCAGGCCACCAGCCGCGTCTTGCGGGGCAGGACGAAGGGCCGGGGCGCGGGCGGGGTGTAGAGGTACCCATAGGGCACGAATACATCCGAGTCCCGCCGGTAGGACATGGTCCAGTTGAAGAGACCGGCCAGTCCTCGCAGGCCGGGCGAGTGCGACGGCGACTCGAAGTTCATCCACACCCAGAGCTGCCGCGGCGGCCGCGGCGGGGGCCCTCGGGGGAGCCCCTCTGCCCCGTGCAGCGCCAGGTCGCGGTGGTGGAAGAGCACCGCCTGCGCCTCGCCGTAGCTGCTGCGGTCGGCGCTGAGCCGGCAGCCCGTGATGTTGTAGCGCCGGTGGCAGTCGGCCATGCGCCGCGGGCGGCCGAAGGGCTCCCACCACAGCAGCACGGTCACCTCGCCGCCGGCCTGCGCTCCCCTCGCCGCCTGCGGCGGCCCCGGCTCCGGCAGGCGGGCGTACAGGGCGAGGGCGGCGGCGGCGCCCAGCACACCGGCCGCCAGCGCCCACCGCCGCCCGCGGCAGCGCCGCGGGCAACCGGGCTGGCCGGCGGGGCGGCGGCGCGGGGCCGGCTCCATGCAGGCCGCCCGCTGCCGCCGCTCTGCCCTTCGCGGCCGCCGCGGGGCAGGCTTGGGGCCGGGCAGCGCATGCTGCGGCTGGGGCTGCGCCCGGGGCTGCTGCCACCGCCGCCTCTCCGCGCCCACCCCTTGCCCCGGCGGCGGGGAGGTGCCGCAGCCGGTGCCACCCCACCTCCCGGCCATGCCGGGCCGTCCTCCGCTGCCGGCCGCATCCCCGCCGCCTACCGCCCTCCGCCGCGCCCCGCCCCGGCTGCCGCCCTGCCCCTCCCGCGGGGGACAGCGGTCCCCAGCGCCCTGCGGGGCCGCAGCCCGCACCGTGAGGCAGTGCCGCCGTGGCAGCGCCGGGGATCGAGGAGGTGCCCGCGGGCCGCTGCGGGCCATGGAGACCTGGCGGTTACTGAGGTGATGGTCACTGCCTTGCTCCACGGCCCCGCGTTGCTCACCCCGTTTCGGGGCTACAGAAGGAATTTGTGTCTCAGCACTCGGGCAGAGCCCAGCCCAGCAGAAGAAGGGGTCAGGGGATGGTGCACAGGGGGCTTCAGTGAGCTGTGGTGGGTTGACCCTGGCTGGAGTCCAGGTGCCCGCCAAAGCTGCTCTGTCACTGCCCTCCTCAGCTGCAGAAAGAGCAAGCATGTGGACCAGAGAATGCCCATGCACTAGGATAGGTTGGGAACATTCTGGCTGATAAAAAGCCATGAATGAACCGAGATGAAAGTAAAGCAAGTCACCTGCTGGGCAAGATATCCATCAGACAGATAAGTAATTATTTCCCCGCTGGTGGAGCACTTCCTGGAATACTGTCTCCAGTGCAGCTTCCCAGTTCAAGAAGGATGTTGAGAATATGGTCCAGTGGAAGGCTACTGAGATTATGAGAGACCCTAGAGCATAAAAGCTAAGAGGAGAGGTTGAGAGAGGTAGTTTTGTGTAGCCATGTGAAGAGGAGGTGATGGGATGATTTAATGGGAGCCAGCAAATACCGGAAGGTGAGTTATGAAAGTAATGGAGCCACTACAAGAAACAACCACCACAAATTCCGAGTTGCAAGGTTCAGGGTTAGACATTACGAAAAGCTTCTTCTCCAAGAGGGTGGCACAGCACTGGGACAGGCTGCCAGAGGTGGTGTGCAGTCTCTATCCTTGAATATTTTCAACATCTTGGTGCTAGTCCAGCCAGCACCTTGGTGAGCACCTTGTTTAGTGCTGGTAATGATGCTCTTCTGAGTTGGAGGGTGGATTAGTGACCCCCAGAGATCACTTACAAGCAATGATGTGTCTTGGAGCAGGGGCAGTAAGACACTGACTATAACCACAGCTGTTGGCATTTCTTATGTTTTATGAGTGCTTAATGCACAGACAACGGAAGCCTGCGAGTGTTTTTGTGTACAATTAATAAATTTATGGAAGCACACAACCCAGTTACTAAACTAACACCAACATCACACGGAAGTGTTTATTTTTCAGGGGTAAACAGGCTTGAATCACTTTTTTCACTACTACAGAGGTAAGTCACAGGGCCTTGATCTATGTGGGTATGTAAAACCTGTGCTGCAATCCAAATGGTCAGCAAGAATTTATGGCTGCCGTAACATTGCTGCCTGTATGAGAGGACCATGGATCTCTGCTGTTGGATATGAAAATGCACAGTGTCAGAGCTAGAAGCTCTCCATGTCTCTGCAAACAGTCTCTGAACTCTGTGAATCGCTTAGTTCACTGAAGCGAATGACCTGGCGGAAAAAAGTTTCAAGCCTATCTGATACACTCTTACAGAGCAGCTCTGTGAAACAGAGCTGGACAATGTGATTTTCTGGTAACCGTATGGGTTTGTATGTTATTTCTTCTTGCTGAACTCCAAGTTTATCAAACTTTCTCTGTACTCAAGTTCTACAAGCCAAGATGTCAACCCTACTTTCTAATTTACCATTGTCTGCATGCGTGTGATAGCCAATAGCAGCAAAAAAAAACCTCTTAGTGCAATGAACATAGCACTTGTCTTGACAAGTAACAGTGATTTCAGTCAAATAATGGGAATCTGGGAAAATTATTTTGCCAGTGTAGAAAACTGCAAACGAATGTAGAAGCTAAGGGAGAGTCAAATCCTCTGAGGCCACGATCTGCACCAAGATTCAGTCCAGGGCCCACCCGACACAGTGAACGCTACCTAAAATGAGCACAATCCCTAGTCTGCCTTAATTAAAGATTCAAAGTTGTCCAAATGCTCTCCTGTTAGTAATTTTGTTTATTTAGACATTTTTGCAGATAATGTGAGAAATCTGGCACCCATGAAAGTCAGTGGAAGAACTCAAGCGACTTCTGTGGAATTCTGATTCACTCAATAAATTTGATTGTATCAGCTGCAATGGCAGTTCTGGTTTTCCTTCAGGAACTTACATTTCAGCACTGATAGATGACTTTGGAGGAGTCTTTTCTGATCAAGTTTACATTTGCATTTCTTGAAGATTTAATGCTAAGCTATTCCAATTCCAGAGCTTAGCCAATTAGATGGAGGGCTCCAGGCGGTCTGTGAAATGTCTCAGGACAACTCAACATGGAAGTCTTTACAAGCCAAGTGGTGACAAATATGGAAAAATGAATATATATGCTTTCCTTGTGAAGGATTAATAGCAGGAGTTGGCTAGTTCTGCTTTGTTTGCAGTCTCACAGTGAAACTTCAGTGTTTCATGTTCAGCTGCATTGCAGTGGCCCCTCTTTTAGGGTTATTGTCATAGGGGAACAAACGTGCTGAATTATTTAGCACGAGATCAGAACAAGGCTTTCTGTATTCATCAACACATTATCAGCTAATGCATTACACTGCACACTGAACAAAGCTACTACTGAAAGCCACAGTAAGTTGTGATGGTATATACAGCATGGAAACCCAGTACTGTAACATTTCCTATGTGTTTTATTATGGCAAATAAGAGATCATTTCAAGATGAGAGGACAGGAGCCCAAAATGTTCCTAGTAATACTGTCACCATAAGTTCACTTTCATGTTATACCCACTTCTGCAGAGACTAAATACATGTTCACATTTACATGTTGTGTATAGTCCACTAGTTCAGAAGTTTTTATAGAACTTCTATCTAGAACATGATGAAAACTATTCTTATATTCTGTAATTTTTACAAATTACAGATCCAATTGTTTTGCTATTGCTGTCTGCCTTCAACATCCTCAAAACGTGGGAGATGACAGCACAGCAATGTATTTGTTAGATATTCATCATAGTCCCTATAGAAAGTAATGATAGGTGTGCCTTCCTCTAAATCCAGCAGCCCCTAGAAATGTTGGTGTACTAAACTTACAAGCAAGAGGTGATGTGTTGCTGTAGAGTGAGGAATACAGGGAGTGACCTCACCATCATGACCAAGGTTAGAAGTGAGGTGTCCTCAGACCTGTGTGTGGGTGACTAGTTCTTTCTCCTTTTAATTCTTATTTCTCTCCTAGGGAAGAAATACCAGCCTGGCAGTAACCACATCACCTCCAGTTTGCCTGATTTTTTCTGTAAGACACCACACGTTCATGGCATGATCACCATCAGCTACTCTGCACTGGTGATGCTTTGTCAAGCAGTTTTGTTCACTCTGACTCAAGAAAAACTCCACAAAGTGCAACATGGTGAAGGCTCAGTAGCATTACCAGATGCCTGCAAACCTTCCAGAGGGAACACACCTGGTTTTGTCTGCTCTGGAGGTAAGCCAGCCCAGGAGATAGCTCTGTGGACTAAGAACCACACAGACTCCTTGGTACTGTACATACAAATTGGGGAACTGTGGTTTAACTGCTCTGTGGAAACCTCAGTAAGCTCCAGTGGTGCTTATAGCCAGAGATTTAAAATAAAATACTGAATCTGTTGCAAAATAGAAAATATTTGGCTTATTTGAAGGTTAAGTGTTTGCTGTTTCTAACAGCAATAAATGTTTTCTCCTAGCACTTCCCAGCTGGCTTCCTCTTCTACTCTGACTCACTCTGTTTTGTCATGCTTGAAAAGTATTAAAGCCTAAAAAAACGTCCTTGATATTATTTGTCAACTCTTGCAAACACAGTTTAAAAGGTACTGCAAGATGTGGTTGTGTTTTCAGCCACAGCTATCAAGCCAGACATTCTGTCAACCAGGGAAACCTTGTGAAGTTTTTTATCCTAAGAAAACGTGATCAGCTTCAAAGAGTAGGAGGATGCTGTCTGGTAGCAAAATGACACTAAGAATCACTTTGATATCTCTGGTTCATAAATAGTTCCCATGGTTTCAATGCAAGTTTTTACCTAGAAGGAACCTAAATCTTGTATGAAAAAGAGTGATAAAAGTTCTGTCCTTTATAAATTGCACACTGTATTTTAGCATAAGGTTTAACTGCCTATAATTTGATTATCTGGTGTTTCATAATCGGGTTTGTGATCTTTCTGCTTGGAAGTTTAAAATTCTTATATATGACCAGAGAGAAAAGATTCAGTTGAAAGTGGAGGCCTACCACGTTGGACGACAGCTTCTGGACACACAAGCCCACGTTACTGCACATGCAGCAAATGCGATGTTAAAATACTCTGCCTGGCTACAGTTCCACTTCTGACTGTAAGCAGGGTTTCATTAAAAGTATGTAAAGCTGACATTTCCAGGTCAAGGCACAGTCATGAATAAATGTGCTATGCATGCTGTGGATGAAGTATCCTGTCCCAGAACGCTCTTCGACCTTCCACTGCAGTACACATCTCTGTTGTTCACAGTGTAGACTAGAGGCAATACCAGAAGAGAAAATTTTCCATCAAAACCACACGATCCTCAGACACAGAATTTGGCTCTGTGGAGGTTTGTTAGCAGTTATAATGAATTTCAGTCTGAGCACCAGACTGCATCTTACACAGCAACAGTGGCAGTGCAACCAGTGCTGACACTTTCATTTTACCCACTGGGCACCCTCCAGGCCAGAGGTTTATAGTAAAGCTTTTCTTCAAACATTTTTGAGGCTTAAGCATGAAGGTGACACTTCAGTCCAGGAGAAAAGACTAGCTCTAGTT